CTGAGCTTGATGTCCTATGGGATCGTTTATGTCCAACAGGAGCACAGTCTGCCCCAGCTGTGAGTCCATCCAGCTTTTGCAGGTCAGGGCTTGCTCTTCCTCCCCACCCCCAGTGTTATTTGCATAACTACAAATTTGGATGTGAGAATGCGTCCTAACAATCTATTGTCATTACAAACACTGCTGTATGCTTAGACTTACTTTTTTTAATTTAAAAACTAACAACTAGATTTAATTCTTATTATTTTCTCTAATGGCCTTTTATTTAATAAGCAAATGTTAAGAGTTTTACAGTGTAATTAGGATAATTATAGCTACAACTTTTGGTGTTCAAAAATGAATGAAAAGTGCAGCTAACAACAGTATCTGTTCGGACACATTTCCTGAGATAAGTGGGTGTTGACTAGGATAATTGAAATGGGCATGTGCTTTTAGCAGGTCAACCTAGTCTGTACTCATTGACATAAACTTACTAGAAAGTAAAATGCCTTAGTTTAACTACAACAACAGCCAATAATAAGCATAAGACACCCACAAACACTCACTGAAAGACTGAGATATCAAATGAGACTTCGGTATCTTTCTTATTTTTGGAGAGGTTTTTGCTATAGGGCGTGTGCACTCGCCAGACAGAGAGAGACAGAGAGACAGAAAGCGAGAAATCACCCCCCAGGGGGGATGGTCATGTCGCATTCCTTTCTCCTCCGTTCTCCTCTTGGGATGTTGGGCACGCACACACACACACCCGGTGTGAGTTTAAGCCACCGGGTCCAGGACGTGAACCACGGTCAACTACATGGGAGTCCAGCGGCATAGCCATTACGCTAACTGCTGGTCCCAAGACTTTGGTATCTAACAGCACTGTCTGAACCTACACCATCTAAAGAACAGTGAGCCAACAGGACATCGGTTATCTAACTGTATGCAGAGAAAGAATCTGGATTTCTCCACAGTGGCTTTAGATCCCACGATGATAAACCTCTGAAGGAAGTCCCTAAATTGCACATGGTGTGGGATCGTCTGAGGAGAATTCTAGAACTGACTGAAAGGGAAGAAAAATGTCCCTGTGGAACTGCTGTACGGGCTTTCAACACCACCACAAAACAAACAAGGGGAGGAGAGGCAGCTAAACCAGGAGCTCATGAGCAGGAATAGTGTCAGGCACCAGGAGGTGAAGCTTCCCATGTGCTCCCAGGACCTGTTATAGCCTCTGCCTCTGTTTGCTGAGCTCCTGGAACCCGCCCCACTCATTTCTCAGCTGTTTACAGATTCCCCCTTCCAGGGCTCCAAGCCACCCTGAGCTTTCTTTCTCCAGAAATTGCTCGTATATTATAACTAACTGTGGTTTTAGAAAAGTGTTCAAATAAATACTACCTTAACAAGTAAGCAAGAAAATAATCAGTTTAAGAATACACAGGCTAGGAGTTACGGAGTTGACACTTGGGAACACAGCTGCTCTACAGAGTAGACTTTCAGGACAGTGCCTGCCCCGCTTGTGTTACCTGCTGTTGCATAGGGAACCTCCAAATCTTAGAAAACACAGCCTTTTGAAACTAAACCAGCAAGATCCAAGACAGGTAGAAAGAGGAATATTTAAACTCACCACTGAACCACAGAACATTCAGAAAGCAAGAATCTTCACAGGCAGGCCTTTACAGTGATGGTGTGGGGGCAGGGAAGGCTTAGATGAGAACCAGGAAGGATGAGAACATGTCAATTGTTTTCCTTCGTTATTAAGATATTTAAAGAATGTTTTAGCTAGCACTTTTCCAATGAAGGATTCTTCTGTCCTTTGGGTGGATACCGAGGAGTGGGATTGCTGGGTCATATAAAAATAAATAAATTCATAAAAAAAGAGAATGTTTTAGCTAAAATGCAATTTGTCACACACTTAATTGTGTCACTTTTGAGTTACTCAAAGAAATTCTCAAGCAGGCTTTGCCTTTTAATCTACAATAAATGAGTGCCAGTGAGGTCCAAGGAGGACTTTGGACCTAACTTTTGTGGCTACACATGAATCGAAGAGGTGCTGGCTGAGCAAGGCTGAGCGGAGCACAGCCGCCCGTCGCTGCATGGTGATGGCGCATGTGCCTAGGTGTGTGGACGGAGATGCTGCTTCTACCGTGGGTGCTTGAAGAGCAGATGCATTCATGAGTCACACAGTTCTCTATAAAAATCCAATGCAAGATAATTTGTTATATATAATTGAAGAATTTTGTCTTACAACTTTGTTTCCAAGATGGTGAGGTAAAATAAAGTTTCTGAGATTGCTCAGAAAAATAATTAAAAATTTATAGACATTTGGCATTGAGAAGATGAACAACAAAAAAATGGAAGAGAATCTAGTGTTGATGGTGCCTGGAGGTATTTCTAAGTTTGTTTACAACACATATTTTTGAATATTTTATAAAGTTATTTTATTTAATAAGACCTAAGTTTACTGATTTTACTTTTTAATTAGAAATGAACTTTTTAAAAATAAATTAACCCCTTAAGATCCTAAATAGCACTTAAGAGTATAGAAAACATTTAAAAGTAAAATATTAAGAATAAATAATTCTGAAAACACTAACTTGAATCCAAAAGCACTGGGAGTATCTTACACATATTAATATAGTTAAAGGGAATTAATTTCAAGAACAATTTGAAGTTTGAAAGAATTAACTCATCTACAGCAAGAATATTCAACTTGGGATGATCCATTTCATAGTCTAAGACTTGATTCTTATCTCTTTTGGGGAGAAATCGGTTCTGAGAAACTAAGGGATAGATGAGTCAAGGGAAGATCACCTCACAGTGCAGTGCTGACCGATTATGTGCGACATGACATCTGCTGGAAAAATATTCATGTAATTTGGAGCAGATGTGCTGAAACATCGAAACCTGGACATTTTATAAATGGAATGACAACATAACGTATAATCCAAACTACAGCACTTTGAAGAACGACATAGGATAAGTCTGTCAGGACACTTAAAAGTGTAAACCAGACTTTCTCTTAGTTAATCTTCAGGGAAGCTGTATTTAACCATGTCTTCGATTTGGTATAACAATAGTAGCATGTTTCAATGGAATACATTGAAGTTCTGTATAAAAAGGCTTATCTTATTTGTGAGAATTTCATGTTTAATGTGACACATTTTCCGACGATTTAGGGTACACAGGTATACTTTTCTTTCATGATATTTTACTAGGTAAGGAAGACAGCTGAAAAATATGAAGGACTCATTAGTCTGTTCCAATTTGAAATGTGCAATTCAAAACTTAACTATTTTAAATGGCTTACTAGCAAGTAAAGACTAGTAAGAGACTTTTGGGGCCAGCAGGTGGCCCGGTGGTTAAAGGCTCCGGCCAACCTCTGTTCAAGTACTGCACCTGGTGGCTTGCTTTCTTGCTTTCTTTCTCTCTCTCTCTGTCTGATCAAACTGGAAAATAATCATAATAGTAATAAATAAAGTTAAATAAAGTAATTCTTAGAAAATAAAAGACTAGTAAGGGACTTCATGGTTCCTCAACTCCAGGCATGTAGAGTTTGATGAATGAATGAATGGGACATTATCACACTATTTTTAGAGCATGAAAAATTGATTCCTTGGTGTCTTTTATCAAATGTATGCAAACATAAGGAGAGCTATCAGATTTGCCACACAGTCTTCTGATTTGTGTTTAATAGTTCTAGTTCATTCATCTTCCATGCAGCCTTTAATAGTAAGAGACTTTTGGGGCCAGCAGGTGGCCTGGTGGTTAAAGGCTCCGGCCAACCTCTGTTCAAGTACTGCACCTGGTGGCTTGCTTTCTTGCTTTCTTTCTCTCTCTCTCTGTCTGATCAAACTGGAAAATAATCATAATAGTAATAAATAAAGTTAAATAAAGTAATTCTTAGAAAATAAAAAGACTAGTAAGGGACTTCATGGTTCCTCAACTCCAGGCATGTAGAGTTTGATGAATGAATGAATGGGACATTATCACACTATTTTTAGAGCATGAAAAATTGATTCCTTGGTGTCTTTTATCAAATGTATGCAAACATAAGGAGAGCTATCAGATTTGCCACACAGTCTTCTGATTTGTGTTTAATAATTCTAGTTCATTCATCTTCCATGCAGCCTTTAACAATCAAGGAAAATCTCTTGAGCTTTTCCAGTTTCCCCATGTTTCTTTTCAGTGGTAAAGCTCTATCCTGGGTCAGCCTTGTGATGCTAACCTAGTGTATTTTTTAAAAGTTAGACTTGCTTGGGGGATGAGGCGTGGACTTAGAGCATGTCAAGCAGATAACCCAGTGCGTGCTGCTACATCGAGAATCATTCCTTCCTAACTTGAGGCCTGCTTTGACCTTACCAGAGGGTGCTGGGCAGATAGTCTATGTCAGATAGAACAGCTGCAATTTGAAATGTTCCGTCATAGTCAGAAGTCGTTTTAAAGAAGTAACCTTCCTGGGCTATTTATAATATGCCAGATATATGAGAGACACCATATATATATCATCTGTAGTCCTCCCTACATCTTTCCAAGGCAGACAGAACTATCCTCATTTTACAGATGAGCAAACTGAGGTTCAGAGAGATTCATGAACTGCTGGGTGGGCCCCAGAGCAGGCTAGGATTTGAAACCATATCTGACTCCAGAGCTTGCTGGCATTTTCTCTTGACTTGCTCCTTCCTCCTCCTAGCAAGTTTAAACTTTGTGAGTTAAAAATCCAACCTCTGCCTTGTACTTGTTGGTTCTAAAGACAGTTCTCTGTTCACAAGGACACCTTTTTATAGCATCTTCTCTGGTGACCCAATCATGACCAATGTGGCCTTGGTTTTCATTTTGATATTATAGCCCTTCAACATCTCTGTGTTAATTTAATGCTTTCCTCCACAGGTATATTTTATTCCCAAGCTCCATTTCTCTTTATTTTGTTTGTTCTGTGACCTGTACTTTCATTACAAATTTTCTGCATTTGCAAATGTCAACAAAGCAGACAGCATCTAATGCAGATGATTCACACCTATGGGGCAGTTTGCTGTGTGGACTCTGCCAAACAGGCTCTGGCTGTCCCGAGGACAGAGCTCCCTGTCGAAGTAGACAGTTGATGAATGACCACCCTAGGCTGGAAAGGAAGGGGGAAAGCAGATAGAGAGGTGCTGATTAATGGAAACAAAATTAAGGAGAGATGAGAGGAACAATGTCTAATGTTATAAATTATAGTAGTATGAGTATAGTTAAAAACAAATTATTGTATATCTCAGAGCAACTAACAAAAGAGGATTTTGAATGTTCCCAACAAAGAATAATAACACATGGCTGAGAAGATAGCAATACTAACCTCCCTGATTTAATCAATGCACTTTGTATTCTTGTATTGAAAAATCATTTTATACCTCAAAAATATCTACACTTATTGTACATCAATTAAAAACAACAGTTACCTACCTGGCTGTGCTTGGTCTGTTGGGGAGAGGGGGCAGAATTTGTTCCAGAGTGTTTCCAAATTACCTCTTTTCATGATTCCTTCTTTAGTAAAGCACAAAGATTTTTCTGCCATCAGTAAATTATGTTAAATCACTAGAAAGTTAATGATTATTATTTTTAAGCCGTGAGAGACTATTTTATTCTTAGTTTACATTTTCAATGCATTTCCAACCAGGAGAATTGAAACATGTTAAAGAGTCTCCAGAATTAAGAAAAGAGTAGTTCATAATGTGACTCTGCTAAAATAAAAATAATTAAGGAGGGGCCAGCACTCTACCCAACAGTTAAGGGAGCCTGAACTCAGATGACATACTACAGTTTGAATTCCAGCCTTGGTGGCTTGAATAATACACTGGACCCATATGCATTCATGCTTCGAATTCTCTTGGGATGCAGAAATGGAGGAAAAGGGTTGTAGCATCATCACATCTCACTGGGAGAGGCTTCTCTCTCTCTCTCTCTCCCCCTTTCTCTTTTACACACACACACACACACACACACACACACACACACACACACTGCATGTACATGCTCTCTGTCAATAAATAAATAAATAAATAAATAAATAAATAAATAAACAAACAAACTAAATACTTACGGGTAGGTGATGAAAGAGGTGTTTCTGTTTCCTTTAGTGATATACCTGGATGATCACACTGTCCTCAACAAACTGGTTAAAAACAGTAGAAAATGGGGATTACAAATAATAGTGAATGTGACATTTGTCATGCCAGTGTAAGATTTATCATGCCCAATTGATTTTTAAATTTTTAAAATTTAATTTTATTTATTATTATCATAATCTTTTTTATATTACATTGACTCACATATATCTTTATAGTATATCACATTTCTTTTTCCAGCATGATTACCATGCATATCAGTCAAGGAATACCACGCCTATTAGTCAAGACAAAGACATTACTATTCATATCATCATCATCAACTAGCTTTTCATCATTTTTTCAGATTATTATTATTGTTGTTCACATTACTTTTTTAAACATTCTATCACTATTTATCATTTGGCTTAGAAAAAAAATTTACCCAACATGAAATACTTCTTAGACAAGTCCAGTTGAGAATACTATACATTTTACCATCAACAGGTAATAAACCATTTCTGTGTCCCACTAATGTCATGCCTCTCTATTTGATCTCTTGCTATCCTTCTCTATACTCGTTCCTTCATCTGCCCCATTCCACACTGTCTTAAGCATATATAACTATGTTCACTGCTTTTATGCCCTCCAATATTTCGATCCCTACCATAAAGTGTGGCTAGTCGGTATATATTAAGCAGACACATACAGTATCTTTCAGTCATATCCTGGTTTGCTTCACTCAGCAATAGATTCTCCATATTGGACCACTTTCTATCAAATGCCAGGGTCTTGTTGTTTTTATGGCTGAGTAATATTCCATAGAATAGGTGTGCCACACTTTTTCCATCCATTCATCTGTTTGCAGACATTTGGTTGGTTCCATGTCTTAGTGATCATGAATAATGCTGCAATAAACATTGATGTGCAACCCCTTTTCTGACTGAGCATTCTCCTGTCCTTTGGGTCGAAACCCAGAAGTAAGACTGCTGTATCAAATGGTAGTTCTATTTGTAGATCTCTGAGGGACCTACATATTGTTTTCCACAGTTGCTGAACCACTTTATATTCCCAACAACAGTGTAGGAGAGTCCTCCTTTCACCTCATTCTCACCAACACATCCCTTTTGTTATTTTTAATCTTCGCCATTCTGACAGGGGTTAGGTGGTATCTCACTGTGGTTTTAATCTGCATTGCCCTTATTATCTGCATCTCCCTTATGATGAGGGATGTTGAGCATTTCCTCATATGCTTTTTGGCTGTTCATATGTCTTCCTTAGAGAGATTTTCAATCAGTTCATTTTCCCATCTTTTAATTGGGATAATCATTTTTTTAGAGTAAGCTACTTGAGTTCCCTGTGTATTCATTCCCTGGTTATCATTCCCTTGTCTGAGGCATATTTTACAAAAATATTATTCCATTCTGAGAGTTGTTGATTCACACTAATTACTGTGTGCAACTGAATTTTTTTAAGAATTATTATTATTTATAATGGCGCCTTGGCTAAGGGAGAGTACCATGGTGGACAGGGAGCCCCACCCCATGTTGGAGGTGCTGACTTCTTTGGGGAATGGTGGCTTCAGCCCCTGGGGTGGGAGTCTGCTGTGCGGCCTGGGCTGGAGCTCTGGTCCTGTATTGGGTTGACATTTCTTTCTTTCTTTCTTTCTTTCTTTCTTTCTTTCTTTCTTTCTTTCTTTCTTTCTTTCTTTCTTTCTTTCTTTGTTTAAGTCGACCAGAGAAGGACAAATTGAGAGAGAGAGAAAGTTAGAAAGTAAGCCACCAGGCCCAGGGCTTGAACAGCAGTTGGCCGTGTGGAAGTTCAGTGTCCTTAACTACCACATCACTTGCCGGCTCTATACCCAACTGATTTTAAGTAGATTAATTTGGTGTTTTCTTCTGGGTTCCCCACCTCCTTCTTTAACAATATCTTTCATCTTCCTGCTGTTTCTAGAGGTAAATTTTTTCTTATTCATTCCAAAAATATTGATTGAGTCTGGACTCTGTTTTAGGATTTCAATAAGGTACTGGACACACAAATTAATTAGATGTCACTTTGAACCTCAAGGAGTTTACAAAATAGTCATTAAGCAATTCATTTAAAATATAGTATTGCTAAGCACTGTTTTAAGCACTAAGATAGATCAGTAAAGAAAAACTAGGCATATAACTGCTTTTGTTGAACTTTCATTATAGTAATGGGAGGCAGACAATAATACTAATCATAAAAATTAATAAACTAAATGGTATGCTAGAAATTGTAAGTGCTATAGAGGAAAAAAAAAATAGAAGTGTCAGGAGTGCCAGATGGCAAGTTGCAAAGTGCAATGAAGTGTTCATAGGAAGCTGCATCTAAGAGTGGTATTTTAGCAAAGAATTGAACAAATTAAAAGATTTGATTACTAACATTGAATGGAAAAGCTTTACAAGTGTAAGGAACAGCAACTACAAATGACTAGCATTTTGGAAAAAAAAATTCAGGATGACAGTGTGACAAGAACTGAGTGAACGAGATGGAGAACAAAAAAGGGGGGAAATAGAAGAGAAATGAGAGTCTCAAAGGTAAGATTTCAAGTTTTGCAAACTTGAAATAGGGGACTATACTAGGTTTTGAGCAGAGAATTTGTCAAAGGTCACAGTACTGTGAAGGTAAGTACCACATTTCAGGATGTTGTTAAAAAGGTGGAGGAGACCTATCAGAGTCTTGGAAAACTGAAAGTTCAATGGAAACCCAAGAGCAACAAAAAGGAAGTAAATTTAGAATTGATGTGATTTGTGCAAAAACAGAGGTAAGAGAGCACATGTTGCTTCAATAAGACTGCACATAGTTCCTTAAAGGAAAACAAAAGATATGGAGGGAGAGTTGTAAGAGCTAAAGCTGAAAGAGCAGTCTAATCTGAGAGTAGAAAGGCTATTATATTAATTAGAAAATAGCTGAGGAACTGAGGGTAAGCATTGCCTGGGCCTAATAGTCTCATGATCTCCTAGTCTTGAGGATAATAGACTATACACACACACACACACACACACACATACAAACACACACATGCCAATACATGTGTGATACCCAGTATGTTGACATATTACTTATGACTACTGTAGCAACATGGCACATGTGGTGTAGTAAAACATTGTACCTGAAACTCTAATGTTAGGTCCAAATGACTGAACTTTCAAATAGATACTTCTACACAGTTGAAAGATAGTGTGCTGAAGAAAGGGAACAATTAACAGTATATGAGACAACCTACAGAATGGGAGAAAATATTTGCAAATTATACAACTGGTGAGATATTACTAACCAGAACATACAAAGAACTCAAATAACTCAACAACAAAAAAGCAAATAATTGAATAAAAAATGAACAAGTAATCTGAATAGACATTTCTCAAATGAAAACATACAAATGGCCAACAAGTTTATGAACAAAAAAATGCTCAACATCACTAATTATCTAAGAATTGCAAATGTAAACTAGGATTAGAAATCCTTCACTTCAGTTAAAAATGACTATTTTCAAAAAGTCAAAAATCAGGCTGGCCAGTAGCGTGAGATTTGAGGCAGCTGGATCTCACATTGCCAACCACATGGTTTGGATCCAAGGAGGGAGACAGAGATTCTGGTCTAGGATGCTTGAGCTACCTATAACCAAAAGCTTTTTAAGTGGTATGATATTTCAAAGTGTTATTAAGATTTTGGTTACTTTCTTTCTCTGAGATGTAATAAAAGTGAGCAAAAGGAAGAGATAGATGATACATATCCTTTTTACAACTATGAATTTTGCGGACTATAAACAACATGTGTAGTATGTAGGAATATAGATGAACTTAATAGAAGGGAAAAAACACTTCCTAAGTTTATAATAAATTAACATTTAGACTTTAAACCTGTTGTATTTTCAAGTGTTTCTGGTCTATAATGTTAGAAAAACAGTGTGTATTACACAAAAGAGCCATGTGGTGCCCTTTCATACTTAATTTCTCAATATTAAAAATGTATAGCTTTGGGACCAGCATATTGCATAATGGTTAGGTCACTAGATTCCCACGTAGTTGACGTGGTTAGAGTCCTAGACAAAGCAGCTTAGAAACTCATGCCTGTGTATATACGTGTATGCCCAAAATCCCAAGCAAAGAATGGAGGAGAAGAGATTGTGGTGTGACCGTCATCACGTGGAGGTGATTTCTCACTTTCTGTCTTTCTTTTTCTCTCTGCTGAGCACACATGTCTTACAGAAAAAAAAAAAAACCAAACCTCTCAAAAAATAGTAATAAATATATAATTTTGATTTATTTAGACTTTTTAAATGGAAATACAAAAATATGCCTCTAAATACCAAGGAACTAGCATTGTGGGGGAATCAGCTGGTAACAATGCCTTATCTTTGAACCATTGGGAGTTTTACCATGCAGTGGAGAAATGAGCAAAGGTTCCCAGACTTCAGGAAATCATAGGATTATGTCCCAGGAAACCCAGGCCCTTTGAGGGTAGACCTTCCCAGTCAACAAGATGAGAGGCATGGAATTGAGGTTGGTTCTCAGTGAAGTTATTCCACTGTAGAGTAGAATGAAAGAACAAAACTATATTCCTCAAAGAAAACTACATGTCTTTCTATTTGGGATGTGTAACAAAATGGCTGGTAAACAACAGAAATTTATTTCTCACATTCCAGAGGATACACAGTCCAAGATCAAAGTAGATTCAGTGTCTTCATCACCTTCAAAAGGGCCTCCTCCTAGTACAATCACGTTGGATGTAAGGATTTTGACATATGGTTTCTGTGAGGGATACAGACATTCAGACCGTAAGTCTTTTTAATGATGTTCAATAGATTACATCTACCAGCATCCTAATTGATACATTGACAAAAATCTCTAGAGATCATTGAACTAGATGGACAATTTGCACTCTGATGAAAATAAGTGCTCACAGTCATGGGAGTCATGGGTAGGTAATGAGCTTGTGTGTGTGTGAGTGCATGCACATGCACACTCGTGTGTCTTTTTGGAGTTACTGAAGTCCATGTTCAGTACTCCATTAAACTGTATGACATTCACAAAATAAACAG